TGGGGGTCTTTAAGAATATTGTCTTGTTTGCGCCTGGGCGCCCAGTTTGTGGCAAATAGCTCGTTTTCTGTTTGTTTTACACGGTGCTTTCGGAATATTCAATCGCGGAGATAAAAGCGCGAGAACGGAGAAGACAACTCCAGACGGACAGGCCTTTAGTCTTTGAAGTCTAAAATATTATTCTGAACAAGATTACTTTCATTGTGTTTTTGATTTCCCTATCTCCAACCGATCTTAACTGAATCAACGCACATTCGCATGGACCAGGTCATTTCGCAAGAGCTTCCTATAGTCTAAGAGATTCATCCCACTCGGAAGCTTTTGTTTCGACCAATAGATTGATCGCCACGAGCCTTAACTCATTTGAGCATACTCCCAGGGCACAACTGAGTGCTTTCTATTGTAAGTGTGTTGAATTGAGTACTACCCGCCCATGGGTGCCCCCGAAGAGTGCGTATTAAGGGGGGACATCACTCCAAAATGATCAAAAATTGCAACTTTTTTTATTAGTTTATATTATAGACCATTCTTTTCTGCGTCGAATGGTGAAAACCGCATTCTGAAATTCAAAAAATTGCAGTTTTAGGAGGTTGTGGGCCGCAAACATGCATAGGGAAAAAGCCCAGTTTCCTCAACTTTGATCGCGTTTTTCTCGGAACATGAAATTACAAACGGTTGCAGGCCTCCAGGGCGCAGTTTTTGAGCTACAGCGGGGAGATTTAGCATGGAAGCTCCTACGACATGCCGCTATGGTGGGTAGCAAAATAAATTGCATTGGTCAATTTTTATTATTTTTCTAACGATCAAAATTGAACAATTTTGACCGAAAAAATTTTACAAATTTTTATGGTATGTAACAAATACAACTTAAAATGATTTTTTAAATGTGATTGAGGTACCCACCATAGCCAGACATCTCAGGAAGGCTGCCACCAAATTTCGTTGTTCTAGGTCAAACCGTTTGGCGTCCAGCGCTGCAACAGTGCGAAATGGTCTAACCTAACACTCAAAAATGTGTTTTCAACGAAAGCGCTGTACTGCCATGGCGGATTGACTTTGTATTGTTTTATACTTTATCTGTTAAAATATGAACATTTTTTTCTCTTTCCGTTTGGTTTTTATGACGTTTTTACAAAAGCACTGTTTTTGGAGTGATGTCCCCCCTTAAATAGACTGTTGACTTTGCTAAGCAGATTCAGAAGAGGACGAGCTTTTCGTACGACTCTCATCAAAAGCCGTCGTAAAAACTCGCTTGGCGCGTTACTCTTTACGTACTGATATGGCAGTCTCAAATTTAAATGTGGTAGACTGTTCTTGAGCTCACAGCTTACTCCCAGGTAGAGCAGTGTTCATTGATGAAATGCACCAATAGATGTATACTTGCTTCAATATGAAACGACACTTACGTCACTCTCCCATCCTTCACTCAAATACTAACGATCTTCCTTCCGGTTTTAAGTAGACTTTCCTCGCAGTGCCCCGCATCACCGCGCTCCAGCCCTTCGCCGTGTGGCTTTGTCCTAGTTTCCGCGCTAATACTATGTCAGGGATTGAATCTTCGGAAATCACCGAGTAAAACGAAAAGAAACCGAGCTTAGCCACAATCCGGGCGCCCAAACGCAAACAAGTCAATACTCATTAAGGCCCCCAATTAATCCGCTGGACCAGATGGAGATTGGGCACTCAAAATGCCACCACCAGAAGGGCCAAATCGATTGTCGAACAGTTTTACGCCTTGATCCACTTCATTTTGAGGTTCCGAGCTAAAATAGACGCCAGTTACCCCTTACAGGTAGGCACCCAGATTGCAAATTTTGAGTTTTGGAAATCAGACATTTCATATTTTTATTAATTTGACCATTTCTGACAACTTTTGTTTCATGGAATATGCCCGTAAAATGAATATTAAGGCCGCTTTACTGCTGGTCTATCAATAAGCAGTGCGCCTAACTTACCCTGCCGTGCGGGACCACTTCCGGTGACCTCAAAAATCCCAAAAAATTCTCAGAGTCTTAGAATCCGAAAAGGAACCGAATTCCGTTTCCGCGCATCGACATTTCGAACCTTCGGGAAATTTGAGCCGGTCTAATATGCAGTCCCGGGGTCAATTGGGAATGCAGTCAAAAACTACAATTAAAGTTCATTACCGTAGAAGTCAAAGAGTACTTCCGACTTCACCCTGAATGGACCCAACGGACGAGTCATGGACCGAAGGCAAGAAGCTTGTCGACGGCCTACGCGTGGTTAATGACTGTGCTGAACGGGGAGTTGCCCTTATAAAAGACTACATCACGAACCCTCTCACAAGAGACGAAGAGCAGCTTCAGCTTCTTCTGAAGGTGGTCAAAGACCACAGAGAGGCTGCCTACTTTAAATAGGAAACATGAGATTCCAAATCTGTAAGGGCCTTATATGATCAAGGAAGCGGCAGAAGGGAATAACTTGACTTATCCCCAAATTGAGTTTATTGGCTGAGCGATAGCGAAGCCTGTTACTCCAGTGCGGTTGAAAAGTTTTTTCTGTCTGTCTGTCTGTCTGTCGGTCTGTCTGTCTGTCTGTCTGTCTGTGTACACTACTCCTCCTGAACGGCTCGGCCGATCTGGCTGAGATTTTGCAGGCTTATTAGGTATGTTCTTGGCTCGGCACACGCGAAATTTCACTATCCTAGCTCAACTGGTTCAGTTTTTATAGCCGAAAAACACCCAAAAAACGGCGAAAAATCGAGTTCTCTGCAGACAGATCACTTCTGCCTTGAAGAAAGGGTGATCTGGGGGGCGGAGCCCCCCAGCCCCAACAAGTTAAAAAGTTACAAGGGTCAAGAACGTGTTATCTGTAGATGAAACAACTCTACCTGGAATGAAGGGGGGTCTGGGGGCCGCCCCCCAGCATGCAACAAGTAAGAAGTAACCGACGATGGAGAAGCCAATGCCTGCCGAAGGCAGGCTAGCGCCGCAGGCCAAGGTAGGTACGCCAGGCGCGGATTTTAGGAACAGGCCGCGAGACATCGCGAAGCCTGTTACGACAAGACGCGGTCTGGCGTAAACCTACCTTGTATTTTATTATTGTGCCTTAAAATGGTTTCCATCATTACACCAAATTATTTGACTGAATTCCAAGCAGTTTAGGAGAAAATCCACATGGAAAAAGGGTATAACTCAACTTAACCCCTTTTACGGTCTTAATTTCATTGGAAAATGGAGACAACTCAACGGAAGTCCACATGAGTCCGTTTGACAAATTGGCAAAAGGATATAACTCAACTTGTATTTTTATGAATCTACTGTAAAAAGAATCAACTCAACTTAACCCCCCCTTAATTTTAAATTTCAATTTGGAAAAAAGAGCTAAGTCCCAAAAATACACCAGAGTAACAAACACTTTATGCAGACTATTGTTCCACTTGACTTGTCTCCAAATTCCTCTTTGTTTAGGAAATATAAGGTGAGCTGACTCTGTTTTCCATTTCAACGGAAAGTGATAAGTCGCAGAAATCCTCTACGGAGTGGCCTTACACTTCTGATTTTTTTCCAAAATTTTACTAATGCTTTTTGAAATTATTAACATCTGCAACATTCATTTGTTTTGATTTAGTTTTCCCTGCTAACAGTTTTTGGTTTCTCCTGGAAAATGGCCAAAATTGAGTTATCCCCTTCTTCCGCTTCCTGGATCATATTAGCTCTCATATCATAGAGTTTAACTCTGTCCGTAATTGAACAATATTATTAAACAATGAGCCCTAGTCCAAAAATACTAAGTACAAAAGTTATTGTTTGTTTATATGTCTGTGATTTAAAATAAGATTTATTTTTCATTCATGCGTAAAATATATCTTGGTTTTTGCCATTTTTATTTCGGGGGCCTTATGATAACCCTTGCAAAAAGGAAAATATATGGAAAATATGTGTCAATATATGACTCCATATATGTTTCATGAATGGTCAATATAATTGTATCTTGCTCAATATATTGCAAATTATCTTGCGCAATACGTGGTTTATATATGGGGGTATATATTGGTGCCCGTTAATATATACTGCATATATTTCCTCATATACTATTATCTACGAGAAATACATGTTTCAATATCTGACACGGTCCCCGTCTTGGGATGGGGCAGGGTGAGAAGGGCAGACTTTTCAAGTAACTTTTCTTAAAACCTTGGCACTGGATGTTGAAAGGCGACTATATTTCTAAACATGATTTTATATTGTAAAATATATTGACGCCATATATTGAGCAGGGGAAAGGTTCTTTTCTATGCGTTTAAGTCTCCAAGAAATTTTGAGAAATCCTGCTCAACAAGTGAACTGGAACAGTTCGGAAATTTTAAACGTCTTTTTTTGGCGTAGCGCGAAAAGTTCTTCTAGACGACCACGATAGGACCACGATAGAGTACTCTCAAGAAGCTCTGGCCCGGAAGAAGAAGAAGAACAAAAACGGAAGTAAGAAATTGCAGTTTCTATGAGAAATATACGTTGCGCATGAGGGTCCGCAGCGTATATTTCTCGAAGAAAGTATATTTCCGAACAAATTGTGACAGTGGGATCCCTTCGGAAAATGGCAAGATTTTCACCAGAACCTCCCCTTTAGTGAATGTTGGCAGCCCTGCAGCGTCGTTCTGGTGCTTGCATAAATTGCCCTAGGCGGTCCTGACTCAATTTCAAGGCGTCCTAGAATTTATGCAACGATGAATGGCGTTTTTGGTTGGGTTTTTTGTTTATATAGTCGGTTCTGCTAAATTTACACACGTGTATCTGGGTTGGTGACCCTTCCGGAGTTGAGGGTACCGACGAAGCGTGCATTAATGCAAAACTATCCAAAATCACAAGCTGTTTCAACTAAAGTGTAAGAAGCCGTCAGAAGCAGACAGGTGGGCCGGGCCACTTTATTGTACAGCCTCTACCTAGTTGTGGCCTCATAGCCTTTGGTGGAATGAGTGTGCGTCAATGCAGAGAAAACGACCAATACTCGTTACAGTGTTCTTGAAGCGTCCGGCCTCGGACTCGTAAAACCGGTCAGGGTTCCTGGACCGGTGTTTCGGCAGAGGAGCTCGGAGAGACGAACAGTCAGCACGATGCCTTTGCGAGGAGTTGTTGTGATGCTGGCGTGTGCGCCGTTCCTGGCCCAAGTGTTTACGAGTAAGTAATAACAGGAGACGTAGCGATACATATCGACAACTTTGGCCCGTCCCGTTCATTTTAAAATTCGCGATTTTCATTTTTATTGACCCGGGTCACCGCACTAAAATCGGACAAAAAATGGTCTTTTTGAGCCATTTTGAAGAAGTTACAAGATTTTTAAAGGTTAAAAATAAAAATGCCGATTCTGAAGAAACCGCTTGAGATATCGACCTAAAAGTTTGCGGGCATGTTCTTGATTACTAGGGCTACCTTCCTGCCAAATTTGGTCGAAATCGTCAAATGCCACCCAGATCCGTGTAAATCTGACATGGAATGACCCACTGGAGATAGAAAGGTTAGTTGTAGAAACGTTTCTAATAGGAAATTGGGAGATGCGACCAGAGAATTGTAGAGGTGTTCTAAATAGGTTGTTAATAGGGTATTTCGGAGCAGCCCTGGCCCGGAAGAAGAAAAACAAAAACAGAAGTTGGAAATGGCAGTTTCCATGAGAAATATACGCTCCAGATGAGCATCCGCAGCGAATATTACCCATAAAAACTGCCATTTCTAACTTCCGTTTCTGTTGTTCTTCATCCGGGCCAGGGCTGCTCCGAAATACCTTATTTAAATTGCTAAAGGAAATTTTGAACTGCACTTCATGTTGCAAACGTGGAGAACTCCACACTTGGAAGTGTGGAGGCTGCAAATTCCACACCGTTCTTATTTCAAGTGTAGTGTTCTCCACGCGTGGTTACATACAGTGATTGCACCGATCGCCGCGAAATCGAACCCTTTTCGCTGTAGATCTGTCGCTTCACTGAGAATGAGAGAGCCACCACCATCGCCCTTTCATAGGGTATTGCACGCACCGTTGCCCAAATTTGGGTGACGAGCCCGCGGTGACCAAATTTTGGGCAGTCATAAAATCCAGTTGAGCAAGGATGGTGAAATTTCGCGTGTGCCGAGCCAAGGACATACCCAAAAAGTGTGCAAAATCTCACCGAGATCAGCCGAGCCGTTCAGGAGGAGTAGTGCGGACACACACGCACACACGCACGCACGCAGACAGGAAAACCTTTCCAACCCCACCTGAGTAACCGGCTTCGCTATCGCTCAGCCAAAAAGTGTCCCATTGTGCCCCACCTTCCCTTAAGGGGGGACATCACTCTAAAAACAGTGATTTTGTAAAAACGTCAAAAAAACCAAACGGAAAGAGAAAAAATGTTCATATTTTAACAGATAAAGTAAAAACAATACAAAGTCAATCCGTTAGGGCAGTACAGCGCTTTTGTTGAAAACACATTTTTGAGTGTAAGGTTAGACCATTTCGCACTGTTGCAGCGCTGGACGCCAAACGGTTTGACCTTGAACAACGAAATTTGGTGACAGCCTTCCTAGGAAATATTTCAAACGATACTTATTGTTAAACCGAGATAAACTCCCCCTGTATGAGGTTTAGGAGATGTTCAATGCGAAATTTGGTAACTATTGGTGTGGTAGTTGCTGAGAAACGTGAGTGAGTTACAGACACACAGACAGACAAAACGTCAAAATGCTGGCACCACGTCCTATCACATTTAAGTCTCTCAGACAAAAACTATTAGTAGTATCGGCACTCTACCAAAAATGTCCTGTCCATGCCGTTAATTTATTGCCAGTTTTCACTGTAGGTCAATTCACAGCGTTTACTGTGCTCTGCTCACGCGATTTACTGTGATCTTGTTCACGGTGTTCACTGTGGTCTACAGTAAACACTGTGAGTTTGACGCCGCTGAGCACCGAAGTACTGCAAATCAGGCTCCAATTCACGGCGTTTACTGTGGCCAGATCACAGTGAACACTGTAACCGAGATCACAATGAACGCCGTGAACTAGTTCACAGCAAACGCCGTGAATTGCATAACAGCAAACATTGGTAATAAATTAACGGCGTTGACAGGACTTTTTTTGTGGAGTGGGGCTGAAATTTGGAGGGGTCGTTCTTGGAGGCTGCCCCCACCCACCGAAACGATTGATTTTCGCACAGCACCTCATGTGGCTCGTACAGAAGCAAAAAATGGTCAACATCGTTTTTAGGGGGTGGGGGCGTTTAAGGGGGTGGTGGTCAAATTAAACACCTGCAAAGTGAAGTCCTCCCTAACAGGTAACTACCCACAAAATTTGAACTCAATCGGTCCAGCGGTTTAGGCGCAGTGAAACCTAAAATGTTAGCCTCATGACGACCCCCGTCCCCTCACCCCCAGCCCCTTCCCCCCAGCCGCCCGGAGGACAGACGCACGACCAGCCGCCTTTCGGCGCCCCCAAACACGGCAAGGGCTTCGCTATCGCTCAGCCAATGATGATTACAGGTGCGTCCGATTGCGGCTGGCGGAGATACCAGTGCACCAGCGGGCAGTGCATTGCCGCCCAGTATCTTTGTGACGGCGAAAAGGAGTGTGCCGACGGCAGCGACGAGTCGGAGGCTGCGTGCGGCCGCAGTAAGTAGAGTCAGAAATCTTATGGTACCTACGTCAACAGAATTGCTGGCGGCGGGAAAAGTTACATGATTTTGGCATGCATGAACTAAATAACAGCTTAACTGACGTCAGCATGCAGGGATTTCTTTAATTACGTTAGGACGAAACATTTCACACTGGCAAGGAACAGAGAAAAATTTCATGCTTCAAGGTAAGGTAAGATAAGGAAATAGGGATGAGATTACCCCGATTTGTCAATCTGTGCTAGCAATAAGTAGCTTATAAAATCTTAATGCAATGGATGTTCTGCGCTTTGAACAGGAAGTTCAATTTGTTCTCGTCTACCCAAAATCCACATCTCAGATGAAGTAACGGGCCTACATGGCCAAAGCAGGCAAACCAGGCATTGAGGCGTTCCAGACAAAAAAAAACACTTTTCCAGCGACCATTACGGATCGCACAGTAAATGTCTTACGGTGAAAGGCTGCACCAATATTATGGTGGAGATTTTCTCCATAATACCAACGAAATTCGTCAAAATATCAATAAGGTACATTGAATTCTCAATGACGAGTACTGCACGGCGCCGGCCGCCAGCCATGACCTGTGGTCCTCGACTTCCGCACCGTGCCGCCCGCCCTGCACACCAGCTGGACCAACGCTGCGTCCGACTGCCGCTGGACCGAGTGCCCAGCAGACGCCCTTCGCCCAGCCCGACCAGCCCCTAGATCAGACCGTAAACACAGTGCGCCACACGGCCTGATTGATTCCGATGCAAGGTTTTAGCAGGTTTCCCTCCATGCATGCAGACGCATTCTGCTGACCATTGTCGGTCGGACAAGGATGTGCGCTGTGTCGAATTGAACGGAAGCGATCAGGTTGTCCCGGGGCGCACTCCCCGCTTCTTTCGGAGGCTGTTGGCAGCGCCGGGGCACACTCGGTTGCTAGGACGACTCCCACTGTTACTCGCGGTCTAGACTCAGCTCCAACTCTGTCCTGTACTACTCCTGTTCCCGAATACACTTGGCCTACACACTCCGGAGTACCTCCTCATTCCCGCTGCAATCCCCCGAACCCCAAATCCTAACAGTACCCTTTGCTGACCACACACCAAAATTCAGCTTTCTTTATAGACTGACAGAAGGGACTTGCGCGTCCGTTTGATGCCCCCTTTTCCCTTTCTCTGGCCCACTTGGAGCAGGCGCTGATACAGGGGAGGGGGAAAAGGGTTTTTGCCCCTCCCATAGCACCTAGATACCCGCCTGACAAGTAGAAAAATCGCTCGCCAAGCATTTCACCGCAGGTGTCTCTGATGCGATTTTCGAGACATGCTCACCAACAATAATTTCTGTTGCAGCCCCCACCACTCAACTTCCCGTCGGTAACGTGGTGACGGTGAAGGTTCGGAGGGGGAATGAGCATGAAGACGTTAATTTCCACATATGCAGCAGCGCCGCCTGTAGTTCACTAAGCCTTGCGGGACATTCACCCAAGAAGTCGCTGCGGTACATCGCCTACGTCAAGAACAACGCGCAGGGCGACCACGGCCAGAAACACCACGAGGTACTTTGCTGTACCATGGTCACTAGATACAAGAGCGCTCTTTCTTGCGTCTGTTTCACACTAAATGTTATGTACAATTTTGTACGAGACTTCACAGTTTTATTTTTTGTGCAGATGAACTTTTCGTACAATTATCGTACGAAAAACTACACATACGTCTCCAGTTTTGTGCAGAATCGCGTACAAATTTGTATAAAAAAGATCTGTACAAAAAATGTGACGTCTGTACAAAAACAAAAAACACGTTGTGTAAAAAACATAAACGTTAAGTCGGGGACCTTCCGTTTTTCCTTCAAAACCCAATTTCCCCTGCGACAGGACGCGCTAACCAGGGATCCTTAACATAACAATTAACCAACACCGGTCTCATAACGTATCATAAGACAACGTTCGCTAAAGGTTAGGGGGGTGGACTGTAGCACGTACTCCCAAAGGATTCCACGTACAAATTCGAGAAGCCATAATTACCTCTCTTTTTGGCCCGTCCCGTTTATTTTTTGTAAAAAATGACGGAGGGACGGGCATATTATGATGCATGCTGTGCGTCCGTTCGTTTGTTCGTCGTTTCGTTGTTCCCCTTCGTTCGTTCGTTTGTCCGAGGATTCCCGTGGTCCGATCTTGACCAAATTTGGTATGCAGCCTCCCTTTGGGGGACCCTAAGAACCGCCCCGGGGGCAGCAAATCCGATCCGAGCCCCGGGGCGCTGCTGCAGGTGCATCATGGTCTACATGGGGTCGAGGAGGATCTCGGCAACGGATGGGAGCTAGGAGGGATGTAGGGGTATTTTGGAATCGGGCGACGAGAGAAAAACCAAAAGGTGCCCGTTTCGAGCAAATCGGAGAAGTTCGGGCCCGGGTTCAAATCCCAGCGGGGGATTTTTGGAACATTCATTTATTCGAGTTTTTGCATTGTTTCGATGTTTTTGAGGGGGCTGATGACGAAACGACATTTATTTTAACCCCAGACTCAGATTTAATTCCCGTTAGGGTCAAACATAGGAGAAATTCGTACGTTTCTTAATGTACGGGACGGGCCAAAGTTGCCGATGTATATCGCTACTTTTCCTGTTATCTCAGAGACCGTTCAACATTTTTGATTGAATTTTGTTTTGGGAACTCACCACAATGAACCTAATAATTAAGCAAAGTTTCAACTTTCTGGGTTTATTTAAACGAACTAATTAGTTACGGGCTATAATTTTAACGCCTACGAAAACGTTCCGATGCCCTTTCAAGGTAAGTTAAGGATCCCTGACGCAAACTTAACATTTATTGATATTTTCGTCCCCTATATTTTGTAAACGGCTTATGCACAGGATAACTTGAATTTAAATTAAAATTTTGTCAGAAAGTTATCAAATGCATAACTTTTTATTCTGAACTGTTACTCTAAAGATTGCAAAACAATGTAAATTTTGTGCACCTGCCTGCAGACGTTTCAAAAAGACCCCAACGGTTGGACCTCGTTCCCCGAGGGCGAGTTGGTGTTCGAGGTGCAGCACCGGCCCAACGAGCTGGCCGTCTGGCTGGCGGGCCACCCGGACAAGGCGGCCGTGGTGCCCGTCCAGGAGCCCAGCGACAAGCTGCTGGTGAAGCATAACTATTGGAGCGTATCCATGCCCGTCGAGTTCATCGGTAAGGCAGCCACCACGTTTTGCTGTTTGCCGAAACAATTGCCGTTTGTGCTCACTGCAATAAGATATAAGCAGCAGACTCGGAGGCGTAGCAACGTGACCATGTGGTAGCAGCTAAGAGTGATTTCTTCCTTGCAGGCAACAAAGCCGCTTGCAGCGACACGGAGTTCCGGTGCCTCGACGGGGACTGCATCGACTCGGTACGTCGCTGTGACGGCCAGAAGCACTGCGGCGACAACAGTGACGAGGACGTGAAACTGTGTGACGGGGGTGAGACATCTATGGAGGAATTCCAGGGCCGATTTCGGCCAATTTACAGTAGTCGAAGTTGGCCAATAACGATTTCGCTCATTTTTCGCTATTGTTACCTGCCCAATCGTTAACACGGCCACAAAATTTCAGCTCCCTAGGTCAATTTTTATAGGGCCTGTGGGCAATCGAAGTTTTGGGCTGCTTCACTTTGGTCGTTTTTGGCCAAATTGCATATTTTCACTTAAGTGCTTGGGGACTCTGTTCTTTTGGGTTCAGGGGGACTAAAATTGGTACCCGTACGTAAAAGTGAGTCCGCAATCCGAATCTGCGCAGAATCGATCACAAGGCAGTGCATCACTGCTAAAAATGCAGTAGAAGGTGAAAATTGCCCATTTTTAGTGTTTTTACGACCTTAAGATTTCTGACTATCCCGCAATCCAAACTGGACCCGTTCTTGGGGGCAAATCATTCCTCACTACCACCTAAAAACAAGCGGCTCAATCAACCGAGGGTGTGGACGTGGCCGCTCGCAATCTCGGCACCTGAAAAACATTCATTCGAATGAGATCTCATTGATCGGTGCGTCTGCTTACAGATCTCTTTGTTCAAAATATAATTCTTGACTAGCTGCTCTCTTCGCTGTGAGAAAAATGTACGGTATTCGCCGTTAATTTATAAACAGGATTTGCCGTACTGAAGGCCAGGGACAGGTGAAAAAATGAAGAAGTTTGGTGAAATTGAATGAAATGAGTTCTGGGTGGAAAATGGTCCTTTGGACCTTCCTCTTTCAGGATCTGTCGGGACTTCGACTATCCGGGACCTGGAAGTGCTTAAAATACATCTTTTCGCACACTCCTGCATTTACGACAATTTAGTAAAATTGTCCGTTTTGCCATCAAGGGGGGAGGGGGGGGGGGGTTCTAGCGAAAGTCTTGCCATTTTCAAAATGAACCCCACTGTCATAATTTGTTGGGAATATGAAATCATACTTCAAAGAGACTAAGATTTGATTTTTGAAGGCATATGCTAGGTCTTGAACTCAGTCGAATTGTCTTTTTTGGACTGTTTTGGCTTTATTTAGCCGTATCTTGAACAATCCTCTTGCGCATACTATTTTGACGTAAAAGGCTTATCTTCACACTTTGCACCTCTTCGATTCATTTTAAAAAGATTCCAGCATGCCTAGTTCAAAATTTCCATTATATTAGTAATCACATGCTTTTTTCATCTAAGAAGTCACTAAAACTTGTCTATTTTGTACATTGTTGATCAATTTAAGTGAAATGCATGCTTTAGAAGCTTGCCAATGATAATGTATTGGACATTTTCAGTTGTGCATGCTGGGATCTTTTAAAAATGAATCGAAGAAGTGAAAAATATCCAGGTCAACCCTTTACGACAAAATAGTATGCGCAAGGAGATTTTTTTGGCTGAAAATCCATTAAAATCTGTCACCAAACTTTAAACGCCCTTTTCTCCGAAGACATTTTTTTAACACTTGAATGGTCCTGTGCGCATACAGTTTGAAGTGTCGTCAATGATATTTTTTCCACTGACTCAGTAGGTTATTGCGAGGAAACGCAAGTGACAGGTTATGTATATTCCACCCAGAAGTATGGTTTTGGATATCGGTTTTTACAAAAAAAAGGGAAAATCTTTGGTTTTTGAAAAATATCAAAATTGAAAAGTTGGTATTTTGCTATCAGTGCCGGAAACTAAAATCTGTCACTTGCGTTTGTTCTTTGGACTTAGACGAACAAAAAAATATGTCGGTCAGGTCAATAACCCAAAATGGGAAACGCACAGGAATTTTTTAACAAACACTTAAAAAATTATAAAAAAGCCTGTATCTCAGGAACCGCTTGATATTATGGGATGGGATTTTGGGTGAAATAGTTTATCATCAAGAGTAAGATTTTGACAGAAAATAAGAAGTTTTGGACCAGCAGTTTCTGAGATCATTTTTTCACCTGTCCCTGGCCTTAAAAGTACGGTGTTTACCGTACCTAGAAGAGCAGCGTTTACCGTACCCAGCACTGAGAATGAATTGGTCACCACCATCACCCTTTAAATGGGTGATGCAACTTCTTTGCCCAAATTTTGGTGACGAAAAATTCATCCCCCGAAATTTGGTAACAGGCGTTTGGTCGCCCAAATTTGGGTAACGCCGTCCGTCGACAACGCCGTGACGTCCTTCCGGGGCCACCACGATGACCGGAGGCCTCAACGCCTCATTGGGTCATCGTCGTGGCCCCGGAAGAGCGTCATCGGGGACCTCACGGCGTCGCCGACGACGTTACCCAAATTTGGGCGACGATTTTATGACTGCCTAAAATTTGGTCACCGCGGGCTCGTCACCCAAATTTGGGCAACGGTGCGTGCGTTACCCAATGAAAGGGCGATGGTGGTGGCTCTCTCATTCTCAGTGAGTATGATGTTTGCCGTACCTGAAAGTACGGCGTTTCCCGTAGTTTGTACAAACACGGTAAAAGTGCCACCTTGAAATCCATGGGGATGTCTAGTTTATTTCCAAGGGGTTTAAGTGAATTTTCAAAGTGGTCCAAATCAAGATCTTTTTATAGAAATGGATTCGTCTCGACAAGACAAACAAAAAATGTCAATAGTCAACACATCTCATAGGTTTGGATGGGAAATGACAACGTTATTGAACTTCAAAAGTACCAAAAAGGTAATTTTTGTTATCATCTTTTAAAGTTTGTGGGTGAATAGCCTTTTCATTTTCCATCCAAACCTATGGCATGCGATGATATTTTTTGTTTGTCTTGACGAGACAAATCCATTTCTGTAGGAAGATCCTGATTTGGACAACTTTAAAAATTAACTGGATTTGGACCAAATGGAAAATTTACTCAAAGCCCTTAGAAATATAACAAGACATCCCCTTGCATTTCAAGGTGGCGTTTTTAACGTGAAGTTGAAAAGATCTCGCCTTAAAGTCAATTCCAAAGAGTTAGAGTAAATTTTCAATATACTGTATATAGTCGCGGACAGAGACGCCCTCGAGACATTACACCCGTCAGTCGCCGAAAAAAAGTCTCAGGGGACTATGTCAAAAAGGCGTTTATTAGCTGTGGGGTCGATTCTGCATACATATTCGGATTGCCCACTCACTTTTGCGTACGGGTACTAACTTTTGTCTTGTCCCCCTGAACCTCAAAGAACAGAGTTCCGGAGCACTTCAGTGAAGACATGCAATTTGGTCAAAAACGACCAAAGTGAAGAAGCCCAAAACTTTGATTGCCCACAGGTCCTATAAAATTTGACTTAGGGAGCTGACATTTGGTGGTGGTGTCAACCTATGTGGGAAGATATCATTTGAGCCAAAAATATAGGCGAAATCGTCTGTGGTCAACAGTTGTCAATCGGCCCAGGATTGCCTTGTCACTATTGACAATTATTTTTCGTCATTGGCGGTGCGTGAGCAGCCCCCTCCACCGTGCTCCCCAAGGGCAACGTGGTGACGGTGGGCGTCTACAGGAAGCAGTTCCATGGGGACGTCGAGTTCCACCTCTGCACGAGCTCCGACTGCAGCGTGCTGCGCGTGGCCGGCAACGACGCCGCCTCCAACCTCGCCTACACCGCCATCGTCAAGGCCAACGCACGTGGCGGCAATGGAACCAACTACGCCCAGGTGAGGGAGTGCTCCCAAGACACTGAAAGAAAATAGTCCTGTCAACACTGTTATAGTTACCAGTGTTTACCGTAGCCAAAACACCTCACCGTTGCCAAACCACAGAAGTTACAGTCATTTTGTAAACAGTAATGACCGTAACAGAAAGTAACAGAATTCGCCGTAAAAAGTTTCACGCGATTTACTGTGATTCCTTTGACAGGAATTTGTCGTAAATTTTTGCGCGGTGAACACCGTCATTTTCTTTCACAGATATTGCCGTTTCCTTTCTTCAATTATCCTGTCTCACTAAAAGAGGATGGCAGCAAAGATAAGGCTAGGTTTGGATAGTCGGGTGGTTTGCATCGAAAAGTACATTGTCGGGCCCGAATTCCGTGAAAATAAAGTTGATCCAAACGAGATTTTTTTCGGCAAAATTATTTTTTAGTCCATTCAGAAAAGAAATCATGTACCGTCTACGGGGGTAACTTGGGACGCCGGGGGTAACTTGGGACAGTCTGCCCTGTACAGCTTGTTGGTGCTGCCATTCAGCGACGGGGGTTCCTAGCGTCAAACCCGCGGCAGGGTTTTGTTTCAGAGGCCTCAGGGCACGCGCGGAAAAGTAGAAAAGGTGCATAACATCGCAATTAGTATCTGAGAAACGGGAAACTACATAATAGGGTTTTTGACAAAATATGTCAAACATTGACAAGTTGACCCTAGTGCAAGGAGTGAAATACAGATTTGGCCGATTTGTCTCTCTGGGTTGTTAGATCATACACAGACAATATCGTTCGCAAAAGGGCGTTGATTATAGTTTTCCCATCTTCGGTCCAGACTTCATTTTCTCAAAAATCGAAATTTTACGGGGTAACTTGGGACAGTCTTTTCCTCATGTTTCCAGCAGTCCTAGCCTTCTAGGAGTTGACTGACCCGGTTCCTGACATAACTTAAACTTCGTATTTTACGCTCATGATGGAAAGAGATGCCTTGCTCTGCAGTTTTGTCTTCTGGTAATCCATATTTTGAAATTTTCAGAAAATGCCTGGAAAATACCAGTAGAATAAAGAGTTCCACGTAGAGCCCTAGATATAGTCAAATATCGGTCCTACAAGAGTTCCTAGGCCTGAGTTCTTGGTCTACATGTTGTGACTTAAATTTTTTACGTCCATTAACATCAAAAGATGCATGGGAACGTAGCTAATTACCTACTGTCCCAAGTTACCCCCGGTCATGGGGGAACTTGGGACACTCTTTCGAGACCGCTTGGAAAAGATGTAATCGAGGCAAATGAACCCGACCAGCATGAAATCATGGGGAAAGGGTCAAACTTTAACATAGTTAGGATCCAATTGTCTGGGTTAACAATCTTGCCTCTGGCGTTCAAAAACGTGAAAAACTGTCCCAAGTTACCCCCGTTGACGGTAGGCCTGGAACGCCTAATTTCAAGTTTCAGAAGCCGAAAACTAACATAGTGTCGCGGAGTTTAGACGTTGCGGAGTTTAGAAACGCGACTTTCATCGTTGGTTTCGACTTGTGGTGAGTCAAAAACACATTTTTTCACAATTAAAGATGAAATGGTCACAACTTGCCTAAAAATTGGCAGAGGAATGAAACTGACATCATGTGTGGCATGAGTGACGGGTGCAGCTAGAAGGGCATGTAGGGGTATTATTGGAATCAAGGCGACGAGACAAAGCTAACGGCACTGGTTTCGAGCAAAGCGGTGAGGTTGACCCGGGTTCGAATCCCGGTGGGTCATATTGCGACCAAACTTTTTTTTTCAAGTTTTGCGTTGTTTTACATGTTTTTGAGGGTGCTGATGACGAAAATAACATGTGTTTTGACCCACACCCAGGTTCAAATCCCGTGAGGGTTGAATATATACGAAGTTCGCGAAATTTAAAATGTACGGGACGGGCCAAAGTTGCGGATCTGTATCGCCACTTTTCCTGTTATTTTAATGCCGTAGAACGGGGTAATACGAGACATGAAGGAAAATCGAGACAAAGCGCCTTTTTTTGTTTTTGTCGTGTTGCTCTCCAGCGGTTGTTCAGAAGACCATCGTGAATATTTTTTTCGTGATCTAGGAGGCCTTGGGAGCTCACAGGAAACGCAGGAAGGCAATCAGAGACTCGCCAGGATTATTAAGGCCAGGGACAGGTGAAAAAATGAAGAAGTTTGGTGAAATTGAATGAAATGAGTTCTGGGTGGAAAATGGTCCTTTGGACCTTCCTCTTTCAGGATCTGTCGGGACTTCGACTATCCGGGACCTGGAAGTGCTTAAAATACATCTTTTCGCACACTCCTGCATTTACGACAATTTAGTAAAATTGTCCGTTTTGCCATCAAGGGGGGAGGGGGGGGGGTTCTAGCGAAAGTCTTGCCATTTTCAAAATGAACCCCACTGTCATAATTTGTTGGGAATATGAAATCATACTTCAAAGAGACTAAGATTTGATTTTTGAAGGCATATGCTAGGTCTTGAACTCAGTCGAATTGTCTTTTTTGGACTGTTTTGGCTTTATTTAGCCGTATCTTGAACAATCCTCTTGCGCATACTATTTTGACGTAAAAGGCTTATCTTCACACTTTGCACCTCTTCGATTCATTTTAAAAAGATTCCAGCATGCCTAGTTCAAAATTTCCATTATATTAGTAATCACATGCTTTTTTCATCTAAGAAGTCACTAAAACTTGTCTATTATTAAGTCATAACACGTGCAAATGACGCTACTGCCCCCTTAAGAACCAAACGAAAATCCTCTAAATTCTGACAAGTTTTATAAAGTTCGTAAAAACCTCCCCAGAAACCTCGGTTGGAACTCGGGTTCTCGTCCGAACGAGGTTTAAGTCTGTAGACAATCATGCCAACATAATCAGGACAAAATTTGGTTCTGTTATGTCTACTCCCGGGCCGCCTGTTCCAGATGGAAAACAATTTTGTTACATTGCAGGGAAAATAGAGACACCGCTTTTCGTTTGAAACATGAGGCCAAACATACTCCACTGTTATTAATTTCAAGTAATTATGATTTTAACACGAATTGGTTTTACTACCTGACCGGCATCTATGCTCTTCGTTTAGTATTTTCATGTGACAGGCACAACTCATGACTTCTTAGACATTTTTCAGCTCTCTTTAGAGACACCCATTTTTCTTCTCTCCAGATTTTATGTCTTCTTCATTTTAGTCCCCAATCATCTTTAAAATGAATGAAAAGAACTTAAAAAGACTCTAGACCCGCCTAAATGAGTTAATTTTCCATACTTCTATACCATTTTTCTCTTTTGTCTCATATTACCCCACATTGCAGGGAAATATGGGACGGCATTCCGAGGGTTATTGCAAGGTCCCTACTGCACCTAATAACAGGAAAAGTAGCGATATACATCGGCAACTTTGGCCCGTCACGTAAATTAACAAATGTGTGAATTTCGCCTTTTTTTAAACCTGACGGGTTTAAACCTGAGTCTGGGGTCAAATTAGATGTTATTTTCGTCATCAGCGCCCTCAAAAACATACAAATCAATGCAAAAACTCGAATAAAAAGAGTGTTCAAATACCCCACTGGGATTTGAACCCGGGTCGAAACTTCTCAGATTCGCTTGAAACTGGTACCGTTGGTTTTGTCTCGTCGCCCCGATTCCAAAAATACCCCTACATGCCCTACCTGTATCCGTTGCCGAGATCCTCCTCGACCCCATGTAGACCATGATGCACCTGCAGCAGCGCCCCCGGGGCTCGGATCGGATTTGCTGCCACCGGGCGGTTCTTAGGGTCACCCAAGGAGGCTGCATACCAAGTTTGGTCAAGATCGGACCACGGGAAGTCCTCGGACGGACGAACGAACGTACGAACGGACGCACAGCATGTACTATATGCCCGTCCCTCCGTCATTTTTTTTTTACAAAAAAATAAACGGGACGGGACAAAAATCTGAAATTTGGAGGGAGTTTAGCCAAAGGGTCAATGAACAAGTGATGAACACCTCAGCACCTCAAGTTGAAATTAAAAGGGGGAAATTTACAAAAAAAAAAACTCGAAGTTTGTCTGACATTATCCCGTTCTACGGTGGTTGTTACATGTCTGAACAAAACCGAAAAAGCGCTGGCAGATGACCTGCCCTTTTGGCGTAAAATGCGTTGGCTCCGCCTGCAGATCGTGGTGAAAAACAAACTTGATACGTTCGACAGACGTTCGAGAAGGACGCTGTGAGCTGGCGGTGGTTCCCCGAGGGCGAGGTGGAGTTCGAGGCGCAGCACCGCCCCTCCGAGCTGGCCGTCTGGCTCAGGGGCCACCCCGACAAGGCGGCCGCGGTGCCGGTGGAGGAAAAGAAGTACATGCTGCTGCGCGTGCTGCCGCGCCACCGTAGGACGGACATGCCGGTCACCTTCGAAGGTGAGTCCAGGAGGCGGCCGTGCTGCTTGGAGTGGAAAAGCTGACGAAACTGAATCTCTCAGGCAACGCGCCGGCGTGCGGGGACTCGCAGTTCCGCTGCGGCGACGGCGAGTGCGTGGCGGCAGCGCTGCGCTGCGACGGCAGGAGGGACTGCGTGGACGGCAGCGACGAGGACGACATTCTCGCAATGTGTCAATGGGTGGCTGCCCCGGCGAGTAAGTTCATAATCCACAATCAAGTGGTCAAGTTACATTGAAGTGCCTTTTGAACAAAAATAAAACAGCAAACAAACATTGTTGAGAGTTCCGGCATGAATCTTGATTGAACTTAATCTTGGAGACTCAGTCCTTAAGTCACGCACCCTGAATATGGGCCAGAAACTAATGAAGAGAGCCATGGTCTGAGTGCTGAAGCCTTTCTGAATCCAAAAATGCCAATATCAAAATCGGTCGATTAGTTTCCGAGTTATGGATTGTCCTTCCAGAAGGACATTTTGTCTTGCTGGAAAGCAAGGTCTTGATGTCAAACTGACAATAGTGCCATTCTGATATGGTATTCCGGTGTTTTGGGGTCACTTTTCGAATAAACATCTAAAATCATTCATTTGATGGAATTTTTGGAAAGTGTGAGTTAAAAGTGGCAGACGCATCAATGCAAACCAATTATTTTTAATCATCATTTGGAACGCCAAAAGTGGAAACCTTGTTTTTCACAATGTCGTTCTGGAAGGACGATCCATAACTCGGAAACTAATCGAAAAGCCTTAGGTGTTCTCCCGTTTGATCCAACTAAAGTTTGTTTGTTTCACCCACAAGAGAAAACAGAAACGAAGCCTCTGAAGAAACGCTAAGTCACACTCTGGGAAAAAATCACAGTAAATCCTGTAGTGATAAGTACAGCTGTCACTGTAGTTCAGAGTACAGGATTTACTGTACTTTTTTGACAGGATCTACTGTACTTTGAACGGGATTCACTGTACCACAGGAGTGGAGTACGGAATATCCTGTACCAGGTACAGTAAATACTGTCGCCAGGCACAGTAGATCCTGTGTTCTAAACTACAGTAAATCCCGGCAAAAAAATTAACGGGATTCACTGTGGTTTTTTCGCACAGTGCACTGCGTCCCATGGGAATGACAGCCAAAACAAAACTATCACACAGCGGCAACTATTCAAGTTTTCGCGTATCTTGGACCACTGCTTGAAAGAGTGACACTTTATTTACAAATTTCGACACTTTCCAGACAAGAATATACTTACTGCCCCGATGGCAGTCCCACAAACATTACTCGGCACTCAGCAGCCCGGGAGAGCGATGACCGGCTTTAGGCATCGCCCTCCACCGGACTCGCGCGAAGTATTTCCGGTCTGGAAATTTCAAATTATGCTCTCAGGAGACCCGGGATTTGGGTTTCAGACCAACAACATTGATGGGGAAGCAGTGGTTTGAATGGGTCTTAGGGGCAATATCAAGGAACGTCCCTCTGGAATGACACAGTGACTTCCGACAAAGAATGTGTATGTCATAGGACATCTTTTTGTCCCATGGTTTATGCAATTTTAAGCACATCCGATGGTGATAGAGTTTTGTGTCCACCAAGCGGGATAAATTGTCTGATGAAAGTACAATTTGTGTGATCAGGCAGGAAAAAAATTATATCGCCATCGGATGTATGCTTAAAATTGCATAACTCGTGGGACAAAAAAAGACCCATGACATTTAGTGTGACCCCTCTGTCCTCGACGAGGCTGCCGATAGTTTCCACACCCTCCTGGCCGACTTGTTGCCGGACGCTTATAACTTGTTGATTGCAGGTACCAATTGCACGTTTAGACACTACCAATGCACCAGCGGGCAATGCATCGACTCGGATCTGCGATGTGACGGCCGAAAGCAATGTGACGACGGCAGTGACGAGTCGGACTCAGCGTGCGGCCGCCGTAAGTAACATAGTATTCTTTAGGTGCCTACCTTTGGCGTACCCAACCGAATCGTTGGTGGCAACAACAGGCTAGGATACACTTGAACCCATACCCAAATGTCCAAGTGTAACCTAAAACCACCGCAGACCAAATTGGAGACCGATCGGAAAATATTTAGGGGTCGCCACAATGGCTGAAAGTTGTAAATTTGACGTAAATTGAAAAAAATTCCAATGCTCATCGCATTGCAGGGTGTTCCCATTTTCACATTTGGCTATTTTGAAATAGCCATGTATTGGACCGTGCTAGTACCAACTGTTCAATGATTATGAGAAAATCCAAAAATTTCAAAGTGCGCATGCGCTAAATTCAAACTAACGAATAGAAAAGAGTTCTGGTCAAATCTGATTCAGTTAACATCATGACCACCTCACTCCATCTCGCTACTTACAGTGCTCATGTTCGCCAAACGAAAGTCACCCGCGTTCCGAAATCACCCCTCCCGAGTTTAAAAAATTTGTCAAACCAACCATCGTGCTGTTTTTACGTTGTGGGTAAGAACTGTTCTACAGAATTGAGGAAAACATGACAAGACAACCGCAGCCTTTAAAAGCATGCCAAACAATTCAACCTCAGCAACAATGGAGGGGCAGTTTCAATGCGCGCCTACTCGTATTTTTCAGCCTCGTGATCGCGATTTTCGAAAGGGCGCAGACGGCAAGAAAATCGGTGCCGCGAGTGCATACCCCCTCGTTTGACGTACTTCGACCGACTTTGTCGATGTCTAGGGTAACATAGAGGCCGGTCTAGAGGTGTTTTTTGTTAAATAAGTTGTAACGAAGGTGTTTACCAATATCACCTACCTAAGTGTGCTGTGCCCTTAGCTGGAGTCAGCTGACCCATTATTTCACTTTCGCACGGAATCACCCACCTGTAGTCGGGTCGGCGCAAGCAAGCCCGCCTTCACGAGTGCCACACAGCTGAGTGTGGGGACATGCCAAATTAGTAATTTCTGTTGCAGCCACCACCACGCAACTTCTCGTCGGAAACGTGGTGACGGTGAAGGTGCAGAAGAAGAAAGTGCAAGGCAACGTTAGAATCAACCTGTGCAGCAGCACCGCCTGCAGTGGACTTTCCATTGGGGGATCCTCAGCCAACAAGTCGTTGGCGTACGTCGCCTACGTCCGCAGCAACGAGCGGGGTGACTTCGGCCGGAAACACCACCAGGTACTGTGCACCGGTTTCTGGACAAAACAGCGCCGTTTTTCCTCTGTCGGTTTCCCACGACATTCATTCAGCCCGATCACCCACTGTTCCCGCCTCTAAATTGATCCATGAAGCGGAAGAAGGGTATAACTTAAGGGGGGACTATACTGAAAATGGGTTTTTCCAGGATTACCAGTGCAGAAATTTTCTCTTGTTTTCTTTTGATAGAATATTACTCAAAACTATTTCAGCCGGAGTATGAAAATTTTCGGCCAAACGGTTTAGGAGATATTCAAAGGTAAAGTTAAAAATATATGTTCACTAAAAAGTTTCCTTGCGTCGTATTTGTGATGTCAGAAAATTCGACTTATCGTTTTTATTGTCCTAAAGACCTGTTCTACAGGTTCTCTAAGCCGCTTTTTTCATTTTCGATCTCAAAACCTTTTTTTTCATACGCGCTTTTTTTACAAACAAAAAAATGGTCAAAATTGCTTAAAATTGACCAAAAACTGACCATTCTCTAGTGACATTAAAAAATTCTGACCAAAATTCAAAAATCCGGCTTAGAGACCCTGTGGGGAACAGCTTAAGGAACATCTGGTAAAAATTTTAGCCACGTAGATGAAAATTTATGACGCAAGGAACTTTTTTAACGTTAAAACTAAAATTTTGAAAAAACACGAGAAAACGTACACTTTGCGTGGGTCTACGCGACGCTGCGTTCCTTCCGTCGGCTTTTAAAGATTCTTAATATATTTTGTGAGAAGGAACAATTGCTGTACCGGCTAGACAAAGGTCTGAACAAGGTATTTTCGTGAAAATCCAATTTCACATTTTTGACCGAAAACGGCCATTTTTTCAGTATAGTCTCCCCTTAATTTTCATCATTTTTCAGGAGAAACAAAAAACTGTTTGCAGGGTAAACTTAATCCAATCAGATGCATGATGTAATTGCATTTTTGTCAAGAAAGCCAAAGACATAACTCTGAAAGTTTCAAAAGTGTAGCATATTGATATTTGTAGTAAGATTAATTTAATGTTGGCGACTATGTTGGTACTACTGTCAAGTTGGTAGAAGTTGGAAGTCGTGTTGTTCTTCTTCTCCGGAGTTTTCCTTATGATGCTGTAGTCCTTGTCTTGTCAGTCATCTGTGTACCTTGAACCAATAAACATCTCTGCCACAAGTTGTCGTCAGTCAGTCAATCCGCCCTGGACACGCCCCAAAACCAAATTTACAGGTTATGGGCCCAGGAGTCGCCGCGCATCAAATCGCGTCGCGATCGTGTTAGTGAAAGTGCGTGATCGAGTCGGTGAACTGTTGTAGCAATGTCAGACGAACTGCTCCAGGCCATACGAGGAGCGTCGAACTTGCTGACGCACGACAACTACGAAACATGGTCGCTCAAAGCAGAGGCCGATTTGACCGAGTTGGGGCTGTGGGAGTCCGTAGTCCCGGGTCTCTGCGAGGGGCCGTTGACTGAGGAAACCAACAGGATCAACCAGCGGGCGAGAGCTTATATCATTAAACATGTGCACGAGGACATTCTGCCGGACGTCAAGGACCAGCCACGTGCAAGTGGAATGTGGCAAGTGCTGCCTCAAGTCCATGGAAGATATACACTGCTTCACGTTGCCATGCTAATCAAGCAGCTGGGACGTTTTGAGAAGACTGATGATATGAGCATGCATCAGTACATCAGGAAGATCCAAGACTTTAGCAGCAAGCTGGCTCGTGGTGGCTTGGTTTTTACCGACCACATGGTATCTGTGTTCTTGATCTCCTGTCTGCCTTTGGATAAATATGGGTCCCTTGTTCGTTCAATCAGAGCATCGGGGAACTTAAACCTTCAAGACATGAAGAACAAATTGGTGCTTGAAGAAAGGTCCCTCAGCCTAGAGCCTGCTGCACCTGTTGAGGCGGAACCTGGAAACGCTCTCTTCTCTGGAAGTTCAAGCAACAACAACAGTCAGAGTCAAAATCAAACTTCTGAAACCAGAGGAAGAGGAAGGGGACGTGGTCGTGGTGGCAGAGGTGGTCGTGGTGGCAGAGGTGGTCGTGGTGGCCAAAGCTTCAACAATCAGCAGAACAACAAGAAACCCAAACGTGATGTCAAATGCTACAAGTGTGGCGAGTGGGGCCACATGTCATTCGAATGTGATGGTGCAGAGAATTTCCGAAAACAGATGGCAGCCATGTCAACTGGAAACCAGAACAACGACAACGCTCAACCTTCGACCAGCAGTGGCAGTGGACATTTGGCTTGTATCACCAAAGCTTCTTGTATGTCAACCCAGTCGATGCCACAGGATAACATCTGGTTCCTGGATTCATGCGCCTCAGATCCCATGACTCCAGACAGAGGCCGTTTTTCTGAGTTCCAAGCGGTGAACCGCACTGTCAAAATTGGAAAGGGTATGCTACAAGTCAAGGGAAAGGCAAGGTGGAGTTAAAGATGACGGAAAGGTGTGGTGGTTGGTCATTAACTCTCACTGGAGTTCTGTATGTGCCGGACCTGGAAATGAACTTAATTTCAGTCAAGAAGCTGGCATCAAAAGGTGTGGAGACTACCTGCAGGGAGACACAGGCAACTGGCATCAGGAGCAGAGACGGTGCAATTGCATTTACTGCATTTGTGCTGGACGACGTGTATGCTCTTGAGATGGACCCAAACCCTTCTTCAACTGCAGCTTGGTGTCAAGAGACTCAACCATCGAACAGCCAAGATGTCGAGGCCAAGGCCTTGAACCTGCGTAATGCTGATCCATGGCATGAGCGTATGGGTCACCTCCACAACTCTGCATTGAAGAGGATGCCAGGTCTTGAAGAAGTTGAAATCAGTGACTCTGTGTGTGACACCTGTGTGAAAGGAAAGATGACAAAGATTGGCTTTCCTTCGCACAGTGTTAGGAAGTCTGAAAGAGTTTTAGACCTGGTGCACAGTGACCTTATGGGAAAGATTAAACCTGCATCATTGGGTGGAGCTAAGTATGTGTTCACATTGATTGATGACTTTTCCAAATATGTGTCTGTGTATTTTTTATCTAAGAAGAGTGATGCTTTTAATAAGTTTGTTGATTTTAAAACTAAAGTAGAACTGCAGCATGGTTGTAAAATTAAGGCAATTCAAACTGATAATGGTGGAGAATACATTAATCATGAATTTATGAATTTTTTGGTGTCTAATGGAATCATCATCCATCGTAGGACTGTACCAAGGTGCCCTGAGCAGAACGGTGTGGCTGAACGCCAGAATAGGACTTTGGCGGAAATGGCGCGCTGTCTCTTAATCCAATCAGGAATGCCACAATACTTCTGGGCAGAGGCAGTCAACACTGCTTGCTTTCTGAGAAACCTGTGTGTAAACTCATCTATTAACTTTCAAATTCCTATGGTTTTGTGGAAGGGTAAAAATGTAGATGTTAGTGTGATGTTGTCTAAACTCAGAGTATTTGGTTGTAGAGCTTGGTCCTTAATTCCAAAGGAGAAGCGTTCAAAGTTTGGACCTAAGGCTGATGAATGCATTCTAGTTGGTTATGGAGATAGTGAAAATGTAAAGGGTTATAAATTGTGGAATCTTACCTCTAAACAAATGCAGTTCAGACACCATGTCATATTTGATGAAAGTGTTTTTCCTTATAAGTTAGACTGTGATAGTACCTGTGATACTTTTAAGGAAGTTGTTGAGTCTTCAAAGACTGTTTTTAATGAAGTTGAAATTGATGATTTAGTAGCAGAAGAAGTTTTGAACACAGTTTCTGGAATCGATACCCCTGTCGATACCAATAGGGTACTTCGGAGAAGATCCAAAGCGGAAGCGGAGAAGAAAACGGGAAAAACAAAAGAGCGTCGCGCAGCGTCGGAGGGCGGTGGTGGGGGGTAGAGTCGGGGAGCTATGAGAAATCGTGCGTGCGGAGCTGTTGTTTACTTTTGGCGGCCTCAAAAGCGTGTATTTCGTGTAAGTAAGAAATGAGGCTGTCAAAATATTGTTTCACACGAATCATTAGTGTCTCAGCGTATTCGAAGGTTCAGAGGAGTGTTTAAAGTTTATTTTCTACCGTTGGAGATGGAAAATCAGTCTTTATCACAATACTTGTTGATCCTAACCTCAACCAACGTAACAGTTTCTTACAATGTCTAGTTATTTTCGACTTTTCTCCTTCTTAACTAAAGCGTCATGATGCTAAAAAATTAGAAAGTAGCGCAGAATATTCTACAGTACCTATCCCCCTTATTATTTTCACCTGCCAATCTTTTTTTTTTATTTTGTTTTGGGTAGGTCACAGTTCAGCGATAGGACTCTATTCTGCTCCATTCTAGACAATATGGTGAGTTAGTGAAAGGTGATTTTTATTACACAGTCACACAAGTTTTTCTATGTACTGTGTTTTATTTCTGGTTTCAGTATGTCATTGACTGCGGCATTTGTAATGTTGGAGGCGGGTCCCATATTTGTGCTGCTCTGCAGGTACTGAACTGTAGCAAAGTAAAGATGTCATCCTGCTTGGAAATTTTACTCCTGACTGTTTCTTTTTAGATGTTATTTCATGTCCCAGAAGTTCATGACTTCCTAGTGAATGATAAAGAGCACAGGAATGGGTGCCGCTCACTCCTTTGCTGCAGCTGTGCCCTCTTCAGACAGCTCACGGATGTGCTTGCAAACAGGTGCACCGTTCCTACATTTTTTTTGGATTGGTGGAAAAGTAAGATGACATGTCTGGCCATTAGTGAACTGATGTTTGTGTTTCAGTTTGACCTTGTAATGTTTGTGTATTGTGGGTGCAGGAATGTGTATCAAGATGCCTCGCGAAAAACAGAGAAGTTCACATGAATTCCTATTCAGGCTGATAACCACATTAAGATTGGAGCACTCTAAGCGGATGGGACTGGGACTGTAAGTTATGCACTGAGCCTTAACATTTTAATTATATTACTTACTCACAGGTGCAAGATTCTTTGTAATTTTAGAACTCTGAGTTTTGTCTAGTTAGTTGTGTCATTTAAGATAAGAATTTATTTCAGAATGATGTAAATAAAATTTATTTGGATGAAAAACGAATTTACTTTTTCAGGAACTCTAACATGTCTTTGTGGGAGACGGTGAGCTCCAAGTTATTTGGTGGGAAGCAGCTTGTTCGTGGTATGTAGATATCTTTATTTGAGTTACCAAAATGCAATGAAGCATTCTGATATTCTCTTTATAAATTACAGTGCGGTGCAATCAGTGCAATCCAGCAGACCTGAACCAAGAGTTTCTGTCGGTTGAAATTCAATTGCAAGGGCAAAACCTTTCTGGCGAAATAGAACAGAAACTGTATGAATCTAAAGAAGAGTTTTGCCCTTTATGTGATGCTGTCACATTTCGTTGGAAACCACTATCAATTAAAATGCCCCACTACCTAATTGTACATGTATCAAAGTAAGTTAATGGATATAATGTTTTAATCTTTGACTGTATAGCAGCGTATTAACTACTTTCATTTAGTTGCAGTCTGAATGCGGCACAAGCACAATATGTAACTGTGTGTGGAGAGGATTTTGTTTTAAAATCTTGTATCACTCAAACAGAAACCTCCTCACAAGCTCTTTTTACGAGCATATCTTTATATGGTGTCAACAAGCAGTTTGAGGATGCACAGGTAAATATTAAACATGTTGTCGTATTTGCCAGCAAAGTATCACAGCACAATAATTACAACATAAAAGGGCATGTAATGCAGACAGCGCAATGTGTTACAATCTTTTCAAAACAACAGCTTTGTAAAAATAATGAGAAAAATACTACAATGAAATCGTTTTGAACAATTAACTAATGTTGACAATATTTTTTGTACTAATTAAAGGTCAGGTATAAAAAATATCAATTGTTGACTAACAATTAAAATTCTATTGTAGATAAAGAAAGTAAGTCAAGTTGCTTACTATTAATAGATTAGTTACATAAAAATATGACTTGTTCACTAAGTACTAAAATTCTTTTGTACATAAAGATAGTTAAGTTACTAACTAATAATAGATCAGTTACATAAAAATATGACTTGTTCACTAACTATTAAAATTCTTTTGCAGGTAAAGAAAGTTAGTCAAGCTACATTTGCAAGAAAAGGCATTCCTGACAATTCAACAATGACTTTCCTGTTCATCACAACATCTTCTAGTAGTACAGTAAGCTAAACACTGCTCGTTTACACTATCAGTTCTTTAAATGTGACTGGTACTTTGAATTGTCCTTATTTTTTCAGCTGCTTACCTCATCTATTGAAACTCACCTGGAGCATGACAGGTTGGATACTGAAGAAGTAACCCTCAACCCATCCTCCCCAGAAAGACAGGTAATTAATCAAGTGTGATGGCAGGTAGATCTCTTGGAGTCTTCTTTGCGAAGTATTCTGGCACTAATATCTTGTAGTGAAATGTTGTCATTTTGTCCCTGATTTCTTCCCATAAATGCACGTTGAAAGGGACTGTTATTAAAACTGAGCCAAATTTGGACCAGACAAAAAAGTCACACGATGTTTGCTCTGTTAGGCCCATCCCCATTTGAACTTGATAATAGTAACTGTGATCTTGCTTCAACTCCAACTGTCCACTTGCATTTCTTCTAAGGCAAAATCTGTCAAGCTGGTCTTGGTTCAGCACCTGTTCAAATTGATTTGGATCATGCTTGCGCAAGGTGTACGGACACTTAATTTCCAAATTACAAGGAGGGCATTTTTCTGAAAAGACCATGCCGTCAAGGCTACATGCCAAACCCAAATAATTTGTGTGAACATGCAGGCCTGTTGTGCAAACTTCCACAGTATTATCTTCTTTCCTTTTTTGGAGGCAATAAGCTTCTCTTGCTGTATCTTCATTTTTAGTTCCATAGTTGCAGGATTTGGAAGTGAAGGGGTCTAGTCCCCACAGATGAGACCTCAGAAAATTAGTAATTCCTTTGGGTGTCATGTGGCTAACTTTATAAGATGTAGAACCTGTGCAGTGGAGGGAGCGCACAGATTTCCAAGTATCTGACTTGCCCTGCCCTTCAGTGCCAGAAATTTCAAAGGAGCCTTCATAGTCTTGGTGTGGTTTTGAAATTGAATAAAGTTCTTCTAGTGCTTCGTAGAAAAGCATTCGGTTTTCCTGTATAGCTCCTGAGTCTTCAGCTGAAAGTTCAAAATCCTCATATAGCAGAGACAAATGGGTTTGCCAGTAACATGGTTTTTCTTTGTATTGGAGAGCTGCCAAAAAAGTATTTATTTGGCTGCAACTTGGTCCACCCTGGGCAGCAGTTGGACGGGGATCAAAATGGGACCTTCTCTTTACATTTATCTTGAATGAATCATATTGCCTATCAGCAATAGCATCTGGATTTCGCTTCAATGTTCCTCTGCCCCATACCCGTGGGCGAGAGGTGCTGGTGGTAGCTGTGAAAAATAAGACCGAAATAAATCAAACAAAAACTGGAAAATAAATTAGACATTGCATATTCTTTGCAATGAAAATGATAGGGATTGAAAGTTTTTTAAAAATGGGGTTCTATTGCAGAACATCCTGACTGGTCGACATGTATTGATTTCAAAGCTACATTGTAGTACTACTAATAATAATAATAATAATTTTTGTATTTCCAGGTAACAGTGCCTTCCAGAACAACTGATCCTGAATCGCTCATGGCAAGAATTTCTCTTGGGAAAAACAAGGGCACTCAAACAGCACTGAAGGTAAATAACAATCTACCACAGTTAACCATAGTTACACTACCTTCTAACCAATGGCTAAAATTATTACGTTGTTCCAGGTCTCATCATGTGATGCTGAAACGCAGACCAACCTCTTTGACTACGACAGATTTAAATTGGAAGAAAGTGATTTCAAATCTTGGACTGGCATGAGCGTGGAGGATTTTGAAGCTTTTTACAACCTGCTTGGAGGTGAAGATGTTGTTTTGAAATTAAAACAGAAATATAGATTGTCAACTCCTATGAAAATCAACACAACAACAAGAATATCAGGGGAAGATCGACTGTTGCTCTTCTTTCTCCGATTTAGACAAGGACTGACTTTGATGCAACTGTCTTTCCTTTACAAATTGAGTGAGTCGTACATTAGTGATCTCTTTTATGTGATGACATGCCATGTATATGAGACTATGAAAGCGCTTAGCGAACACATGTTCATCAGTGCATCGAAGCAGCTCAAGAACAAACCACTTGTTATGAAGCCATTCAAGAATTTGAGAGTGATTCTGGATGGGGTGTCAATCGGTCTCGAAACTCCCTCTAATTTTGAGCAGCAGGGTAATACCTGGTCAACCTACAAGCATAAGAATGTAGCTTTGTTCATTGTGGGAATCTCCTGCCATGGAGCCACTATCTTCTGTTCTGAGGGAATGGAAGGCAGCATGTCAGATAAGGTGGCTACACTCAAGTCCAACCTACAAGACTTGCTTGATGAAGGTGATTGCATTATGGTGGACAAAGGATTTGAGCTCCAATCTGACATGGCAAAAATTGGTTGCAAAATTCTTAGACCACCCTTTAAAGAGCGAGGTCGCTTTTTCACCAAGGAGGAATTGGACTTGACTCAAGCCATCGCTGCTGCCAGGATATATGTGGAGCATGCTATGGCTGACATCAAAGACAACAGGATCTTCAGAGGAGACATACCCCTGACTCTTATACCAATACTTTCAAAGCTTGTATTTTCTGCGGCATTCATGAGAAATTTCTCCCCAACAAGAATCTGTAATGTGTCGTTCAGGCCTGAAGTGACCAAGGAACAGCCAGTGGAAGTTCAAGAATCATCGGAACAGGTTGATGACCCTCATGCCTTGTTTTGAAATGATTTTGTTCTGTTTGTTCTCTAGTCAGTGTTTGTAAATTTCATTTAAGTGCATTTAGATGTGTAGGCTGAGTTTCAGAAACCCTGTTAAAAAATTTGTCTATTACTTCAGAAAGTATTATTTATTATGTGTCATTGTAAAGAGAATAATGTTGTCATGAATTTGTTTGAAAAAGCAGTCAGTAAGCAGTCGAATAATCCAATCATGTTCTAATTTCTGTATTCGGAATCTTCTGAACTACTTCTGGAAGGGATACTACTTCTGCAAGGTTTAGCATGCAAAGCAACAAAGAACAAATGTAATTTGATTTCTTTATTCCCTCAAATAAATAACAACTTTTACAAAGTCACATGTATAACAGGCTGGAACTTAAATGGTTAGTTGCAATTACACGGCAAATGAAAAACACTACTGTGTTAGTAATAAATTTTTACCACCAGGCAAACTGAATTTAGTTTTTTTCCACCACCTTCACACTTGTGCCCCACCACCTCTCAGAGCTCCTCGCCAAGATATAACATTTGGACACATAATTAATTCTGTCAGTACTAAAATTACAGTAAAGAATTGCGGTCCTCAGGTTTACAATGAGGCCATCTTTTATCCATCATAACATGCACAGCTAACTCTCTAACAGTACATTTCTTTACTATTTGGAAACAAAATGTAAATGCAAACATTCACTAGCGTGCAAAAATAGGAAGGAAAAAAAGCATAACATGCTGCTATTTCTCTGTACTACTTTAAAACAAAATGTACATGCAAACATTCACAAGCATGCTAAAAAAACAGCGTAACATGCACAGCTCTCTCTCTCTCTGTCTACACGTTTCAAAATGTACATGCAAACATTCACCGTCCTGCAGCCCAAAAATACACTAGTCCATGCAGTAGTATCAAGTCAAAAATCAAAAGACAAAATGTAAATGATGAAGTGGGATTGTTATTTTTTTTTGAATTGTGACTGAGTTTACTTTTTGATAAATGTTTGTGACAGGCTCAAAGCCACTGCTCCATAGGCAGCAAGACACAAAGGAAGGCATCTCCACCCAGATGATGTGATCATTTCAATGCACAAGGAACAAGTAGAGCATTCACAAGTCAAGACAGATTATGAAGAGAAAGGTTCGATGTAAATTGTGAAATTGAAATATTCAAGTGAAGGAAATACAACCTATTTACCAGCATTGTTAAAATGTTAATAGAAGGGTGCTGCAAGATGCAGTGATCCACACCAAGATGCATAGCAAAAGTCATTGCAAACACTGCAGTCAAAACAAGCCACTGCACGTAAAATACTATAAATATTTTGTTTTGTTGTCTTACCAATTTTAAGCGGAATCATATGATGATCCAATACCTCACGCATATTACTGTGTTGGAAAAAAAGGAAAGAGCTTTTCTCTTAATCTCAAATGGTTGAAGTTATACTCTTATACTGATTTGTCTCAGACAGTTACATTCTGTCCAAAAAAATGTTTCCTTGAAAAATCGTTTCTCAAAATAATTTAAATACTTACAGCCATATCCATTGAGATGAACATGAGCCAGAATGTGCAGGAGAGCCGCACTCACGTGGCTGCAGCGACCGTTGGCAGTGGCTGGGCAAGGGTACCCACATGTTGCCTGACATACTGCACCACTAATTTTGGATATGGTGATGTACACCCAATAAGCGTG